TTTTTATCTTTTTTCCAACAGGAAATTTTCCTAAAAAAATTTTAAAAAATTCTTCTCTTTAGTCTAAGTCTTTTATCAAACTCTGTTCTGTCTTCTCTTCTTTCTTCTTTCTTTCTTTTTAAATTAAAAAAAAATAAAAATATACAAAGAAATTCTAAAACAATCACAAGATAATTTTTCAAAAAAAAATAAAAACAAAAAAAATGCAAAAACATAACAACTCCTCTTCTTATACCAACATAACTTATGTCAACATAAATTATTACTTTTTACCGTCAACCAAGTCACATACAAAGCAAAACGATACCAAAAACAAAAAAAGATTATCAAACAAACAGTAAAAATAAAAAACAACTATTTAAAATTAAAAAACCAAACATAAAATATAAATCCAGTGCACCTATGTATGTCCAAAAAAGGACGTATAACCAAACAGGGCTTATACTAAACAGGATGTAAAACCAAAAAAAAAATTTAATTACAAAAATAAAAAAAATTTAAACACGACGTATAACCATGAGAAATCAAGCACAAGAATGATTTATCTGTCCCTACAAAAACAAAAATTTACCATTTTATGAAAAAAGAATCTTATATTTATTGACACATGTTATACATTGATGGAGGTTGTTTACAATTATGTAAACATTGCCTAATACTACAGAACATAAATAAAAAAAAAACATAGATTTAGTGAATGGAATTGTTACCTACCAGTTCGGCAAACATTTCCTTGATTAATTTATAGATGTAAACAAGGTGTCGTGACTCATACACGTTATAGTACGCGAGGCGTATTCCAAACAACAGTCGCATACCAAGCAAAAATTTTCGCGTCTTAACAGAATAACAGGACGTATACCAACAATGTTGAATTAAGAATCGACGTCATAGCACTAGAGACACTGCCATAAGCGCTACGTCCCCATCTTCAACAGCAAGCAAAGAGTTCCAGTTCCGATGGTACCAGTAACTGTCTGATATATCCGTCTCACCTTTTCCTTGAGTGTTGAGCATAGGCAAGATCAACTGGTAGCTCCTCGCAGCGCCATTCTCCTCAGACCGCAATGATCTATTTGTGCCTCCGCACTGTTCACTCACTCCCAAAGGGTCCATACAACATTTAACTTGCCAAACATCAATTCACCACCAACTGGTGTGCATGTCTGTCTCCACCTTTTGGACGTATACCAAAGCGGATGTATACCAAGTGTGCCACTGTAATTTCTGCAGTCTCCCTCCTTGTGAGAATATTGATAGTATTTTAATAAACGTCTGATGTTAGGACCTTGTAGCATTAACTAACTCTCTTCCAATTAAAAGGATTTGAACTGATGTGTTCCAGAACTGTGGGCGGTGGTCAACAACGCGGGAGTGGCCGTGTTCTGTGAGATCGAGTGGTGCTCTGTGCAGGAGTTCCAAAAAATCATGGACGTCAATGTGTTTGGGATCGTTAGGGTCACCAAGGCATTTCTGCCTCTTCTGAGGCAGTCTGAGGGACGAGTGGTCAACATAGCCAGTTTGGCAGGTAGGTGTCACCAGTGGAGAGACAGATTTGAATCATCATCATCATCGTCCAATACTTTTCATCTTGATAACCGGAATTTTTTTTTTTCGTAGACATTCTGCCTTTCCTATCTACACACCCTTGCCTTCTTCTTCTTCTTCTTCGTAGTCTTTTTCGCTTCCACTTTTACCGCTTCGGGTATCAAGGGAGATGTAAAGTCCTGCTTCTTGCTCTTCTGGCTGCCTCGACCATAGACACATCACGCTGTTGTAGAGTTTCTCTGATTGTATCCTTCCATCTTGTTCTTGTTCTACCTCGTGCTCTAAGTCCTTTTTTATCTTTTGTGTATGCTTTGTTTGGTATGGCTTCACATGACATTATCTTTAAGTTGACAAACCATTGATTAACTGTCTTTGAATTTATTTCGGAATTGTTTCTGGTCCGACTTTTTTATTTTATGACCCTATTCCTGATTTTTATCTCTTCTGGTTACCCCTGCTGCCCTTTTCAACATCCCAGTTCCATGGTTACCTATTTCCTTCTCTGTTTTTTTGTGACTGACTATGTCTGGCACCACTAACAGAGAATTAGAATGACCATACCATCTTGAGCTGAAAATTGGTAATCCTACTAAAATGTTCAGTTGCAAACGGGACAAGCAAGTCAGTTTACCCTTTCTCCCCCCTCTCCCCACCCACAAATTCTAGAATCTATTATTAATGTTATTATTTTTATTTTTAATACTATTATTATTGATTAATAATCATTTAGGAACTAATACATTGTACGAATATGAGATTAAATATACATATAAATTATGTAAGTTCTGACGGGGCCGGACTTTTCTTTTTCCAAAACTGACCTTGACTCCTAGGGCGACCTAGCCTTGATTGGGTACCAGGTGCTTTCCTGGCAAGTAACGGCAACCAGAGTGATGCTGACCACATCGCCCCCCAAGTGCCGATTCGTCTATACAAATATAGGTCGAGCCCTATATACCCATTACATCTGAAAGGCGTGGAAAAGGGTCCTTTACTGTTACTATAAATTTTGTAAGCCATACCAATTAAATAATATTAAATTAGTTTTTCTTTCTCTGGGGGGATTGCATTTCCTGTTTTTATTGGTTGTAATGTGTACACTGTCGGCTCTGTGGCTAACTCGATGTGAACGCTTCGTAATATCGGGATGCCGGGTTCAATCCCAGCTGTGGGCCATGCGCCTTGCATTGGTTTCGACAGTGGTATCAAGAAAGCCGACCGTCCAGGAAGCAATGGCAAACTAATGGACGTAAATTTGCCTAGAAAAATCCCACAACAGCCAGGGGTTGTTGAGGTTGGTTCTGCAACGTCCTGTAAAGGATACGCAACTAACCAGTGTGTACACTAATGTAGTGTGTATAGTTTGTATTTATAAATTTATATATAACTATACGCTTAGATTCAATTCTGGAGCTCATATAAATATATCAAACGGGACACCTGACAGTTTTTGTTGTGGCGGAGGGTGGGGAGAAGAACAAAAAGACCGTTACACACCGAAAGAAACGGGACTGTCCTAGTGAAATGATCGAGACGTATGGTAGCCCTACATAGAATGGGAATGCATATGTTTTGTTTGAGATGATTCTTTGTGCTGACCGCCATTGTATTTGTCTTACAGAAAATGCAAACTGTTTTCGTATCGTCTGCTAAAACACATTGTTGCCATACCCTGACTTCCTAAGTTAGTTTACCCACAATTCCTGCATGTAGATTCAAGACAACACATGTATTCTTTACTTAACATTATATCACGCTCAGAGATCTGGGCGTTTTCTTTTTCTTTTTCTTCTCCCTGGTAGGATGCCAGCATACATTTTCCTTGAGTCGTATATCATTTTTTTTTTTTCAAGTTTGAGCAGCGGATTAACATCATGGCACACGGGTAGTAACCCATTAGGGCTCCGTTCTTCATCTAACTCAGGTCTGAGTCCGAAGAAGCTCAGCAGAGTGCACAGGCTCTGTAGCACCGGCGAGGATCCTGAAATGCTTTTAGATTTTAAAATCAAAATTTCGATTTCCATCTGCCAAGGGATTTTTTTTTTTTTACGTGCGTGACAATCGTCTGATCTCACTACCCAGAGACCAGGGGGAGATTACTAGAAGTCCAAGTCCACGTGAAAAAATCCCATCCCTTACCGGGGATTGAACCTGTAGCACTCGAGTCGGATACCATGCCCCAAAATCACGGAGCCCCATTTCTTCAGTCCTATATTTTACAGTAATATCTGAGGTGGTAACCTTTTTGGTTTCTGAAACACGGTTGGCATCAGAAGTGTAGAGTCTGTATTAATAACTAGGGTTTTCGCTGCAACTGTTGATATTGCTGCTGATATAGTTGCTACCGCTGCTGTTTGTATTGCTGCTCCTGTTGTTGCTGCTGCTGATGCTGTTGCTATGGTTACAACCGCTTCTGTAGCTCTTGTTGTTGCTGGTGTTGTCGCTCTGGTTGTTGTTACTCTTGTTGTTACTGCCATTGCTAATGTTATTGCTGACATTGCTAATAGTGTAGCTGTCATTGCTACGTTGTTGCTGTTATTGCTACTGTTGTTGCTATTACTCGTGTTGTTACTGCAGCCGTACTTGCTGTTACTGCTGTTTTTAGCCTTAGTTAAAGCATCTTAAAGCCAGCGTTGTTTGACTGTCGTCTCATGGCTGCCCATGTCTTTCTGTAATATCTACTGTCGATCATTGTTATGTCCATCCATACGATGATGCCAAACATCTCTCTCTCTCTCTCTCTCTCTCTCTCTCTCTCTCTCTCTCTCTCTCTCTCTCTCTCTCTCTCTCTCTCTCTAGGTCTCCCGCGCCAGCTTCCGTTAAAGTTACTTTGATGTTATGTCGTCCTAGTTTGCCCTTTCTCATAACGGTGGCAAAGAACGTGGAATATTTGCTCCTGATGCCGGTAACCTGTGCTCTCTGTAAATTAATTTCTTTGATGGCATCTTCATTACACGTTGTACCCGCCCTTGGTGTTTTCATCTGTCTTTCATGAAACTACATCTGGACAGCTCCTACATAATTTCTACCCGTTCTGCTAACTACGCGAGGCGTTTAAACTCTGATATTTAATTATGTTCTGTTTTGCTGTGTCCTCCCTTTGATATTTGATTCCGTCCCTTATTCAGTGCGGTCTTCCACGCTTAGCTATTTCCCCTTGTCTCATTGATTATTGTCGATAGGCCGCAAGCCGTTTCTGTTGTTTCTTATGTTAAAGGGTTGTTTATTAACCCCTAGTGGACATTCGCATTTTCTATTCCTGGTTAATATGATCTACATTTGCTGGGAAGTAAAGTCAGTCGCCGTGATGTTGGCACCATTGCCCACCGAGTGAAGACGGGTAAAAAGAATTATGTCTAGACTCACTCGCAGGATGCGAAACTGGCGTGTACAATAATTCTCTACTTTACTTTCCCAATAAATTAATGTCATATCAAGGCGTTTCCATAAGGTACACAATATTCGGTTACTTTAAAGCTCCACTCCGACTGTTGTCGGGGGCCATAATATAACCTAACGGTTTAATGGGGTTTCTGGACCTTGCGCCTGGGTGATCCTCATCCGAATTGCTGCACGTTGTGTCACTCCCTGTAAGGTCCTGTTAGGGTTGAACAGTACGTACATACTCTGACAGCACTTAACCTACCTCACCTGGATCTACACACCCGGGTATGCGGGTGTAGAGAGAAATGAGCGAGCGGACCAACTGACAAGCACTGCACTAACGTATGTGGTAAGAAGCATGGACAAAGCAGACATCGTCAAAGCTGTACGGACTGGGCTAGAGGACAATGAGAAATCCCAGACAGTAACACAATTGCGTGACATGGGAGTAAAGCATGGTGAGGCACGTCGATACCCTCTTCGAGGCCGAGATAGGAGACAGTATAACCAGCTTCTCATGGGAACAATTAGTCGAAGTACTTTGGAGTGGCTGCTGCATCGCAGAACTGAGCACGCATGGGAATGACCAATGTGCAGTGACGTCGCTTGTGATAACATAACATAACATTACATAACATAACATACTCTGACACAGTTTTAACATTTCACTTTGATTACGTCATGATCCCCTCCTCGCAGTGACAACAATAAGTCTAGGAGTCAAGAATTATTTATAAATGCAAGTTTTCCTAAATCAGTTTGTAAATTACTATCATTGTTATTATTATTCCTCCTCCTCTTCTTCTTCCTTCTCTTCTGCTTTTTCTTCTTCGCGTTCACAAGCTGTAAACTTTGGTAGAAATTGTTAGTTGTTGGTCTACATTTGAACTTTAGTCTTATTGCAGAACTTGAGTTTTGCATGCGCATCTGTTTTACAGATCTTGTTTATTGGTTGCAGGCTGTTGGTCCCTCACTTCTCAGGCAGATGCAGTGCGACCTCAATGGAAACATCCCTAATTAGTTGATTTTATGGCATGCTTATTAGGGGCAGCTGGTCTGTTATCCCTCCCCCCCCCCCCCAAATAATACCCCCCCCCCCAATAATACCCCCCCCCCCCCAATGTTATTTTTTCCCAAAAAAATTTATTTTCCCCAAAAATTTTCGCCCACCTTGCCCCCAAAAATGTTAATTTCCCCCCGGAACCCACACGGGGAAGTTTGTAAATTCGATTGTCTATGCCACTGTTATTTCCACAGTCGATTGCAATTAATTTTGAATGATACCATGTGTGACAAGAACTGGCGAAAATTGCACTGTGTTGACTGATAAAACATCTTGGTCTAATTAATCTCTCGTGCTGTTTGATGAATGATAACACATAATGTAACTGATGTGCAGCTCAGTTACTGGACAGCACAGTACTGAAATAGAATAGATGAGTCAACAGCGTGCCAGCCAAACTAAGATGGATCAATGCTGATCTGTAAATGTATAGTAACCATGATAATGGCAAGAAATCAGCCCACGTGCGCTAGTGATGCTAAAAAGAGGATATTTCTTATATTCTTATAGATCAGGGGGCATTGGTAACAGCGACGGAGAATTTACTCCGACGAAACAGCCACTTTATCTGCCTCTTCATGATCTTCTTCCTTTCTTCTTCTTCTCCTCGCATTTTTCTTCTTCTTTCACCTTTTCTTCATTTCCTCTCATTCTTCTTTCTTCTCCTCCTCCTCCTCTTCTTCTTTTCTTTCCCTTCTTCTTTTCCCACCTTCCCCTCTTCTTCTTCTTCTTCTTCTTGTTATTATTTTTCTTCTTCCTCCTCCTCTTAATCATAATTCCAAACTCCGTTCCTTTTTTCTATTTTCCCCGTGAAAGTTCTAGAGACATTGTACTCCCTAACAAGCATACCGTAAAAGCAAACTAAAATGGAATTTGCTTAAATAGGATGTGCGTGGCCGAAAGGAGCAGATATCGCAGCCTAGATGTACACCACAACATAATGCACCAGCTGCCATTTTAAGTGCGAACGTAGAAGAAGAATCTGTTATTATATGACACTGATGTTGCTGATGGTTTTTGTGGCCCGAGTGTTTACATTTGTTCACACCCAGTTATCAGCTTCTCATATTGTTCTTCTCTATCTCTTGGTGTGGAAATGAAGTATGAATAAATTTCGACTTTGAAAGAGCGGTTGGCACATTGCGATTTACAGCTACGCTGGGATATCTTTTAGCCGTATATGTTTGAAAATCACCAGGATATCAAGTTGGTTTAAATTTAACGCCCAGAATGCTTCCCTCGTTGGCACGGGCATGGAAATATGACACTCACTATGTTACTATCTGTTATTTATTGTCCTGTAAATTTGTGCATGTTTAAAAACAAAACGCCGTCCTATTTGGCAGGCATAACGCGGGGGCTGTACAATCTTGATTTTATGCAAGTGGTAGTTGAGCCTGCAGTGTCCTTTTCGTAAACACAAAATTGTTGTATGTTGCCCTCCACTGAGTCCGCCGATTGGGTCCCCCGGATGTTCACTGTTAGTCTGTCTCTCCACAATTCCCTGCACTTTCCCTGTGGTTCCTCACTCTTACAGGAGAAGCACACAAGTCAAATTTTGACAAACTTCACAATGTGCGGACGACCACTGAAGGCGTGGACGTACTTCTAGAACACCTAGATAAACAGAAAACAAAAATCTGCATGCATTGGATGCCAATTACGACCACCGAGCAGATAGACAAGATGATAGCGGAAAAGATAACAGACGACGACGATCCTGAAGTTTATCAAGCCCGAAACGGTAAAGACAGGTGTTACGCCTTAGTGAGGGAGAAAAAAACCAATTCCTCATTATGTGAATATGAGGAACGCGCAGCTGCCCGGAGGCCGACATCAGCTTTGGATCACGGTGCCAGGAAGGCGGACGAACTGCCCACATTGCGAGCAGACTGACCACTGGGCAAACAAGTGCCCAACAAGGAGAAGACGCTCTGAGCCAGTGACAACACTTATTCAGGAAGAGGACCATCAATCACAGAAAGAGTTGGAAGACAGTCAAAAGGAGGTTCTCATAACAAGAACACAGTCCTCTGCAGAAGAGGAGGACACGCAGACCGGAAGCAAAAAGAAGAGAAAAGTCAAGAAAAGAAACCGCCAAAAAGTCAGCTCAAACGAGACGTCACCAGCAGCAACACGCCTGAAAAGAGATAACAAAGCCCACAAACAAGGAACTCAAGAAAAAACCAACAACGTTGACGCAGCTGCCGGGAAAGACGAGTCTTCATCCAGCTCAGAAGAGGAAGATACAGCGCCTCACCTTAAGGATATGATATGTCCAGAATGTGAGGCACATACAACTACATATTCCCATGCCAAGAATAAAATCCATTGTGTTCGGTGCCATCTGCTTCTAGCAAAGCCCTCAAGAATGGGAAGACAAGTAACGTACGCACGAGAATGCCTCGGAAGAGACAGAACAATCAAAGAAGACGGAATCATCTCTGGCTGCAAACAGTTGGAAAAATAAATGAGTGGAGTCCCCTCTCTCCTGATTTTCCCCGCCCCACAACTTTCACCTTTCTTCCTTTGTTTCGTTTTTTTCCCCTTCTTTTTGTTCTTTGAATAAAATTTGAACGCACTCACAAACAACACAACAATAACACTCACAAACAACACAACAATAACACTCACAAACAACACAACAATAACACTCACAAACGGCAACGAATGTAAAACAGACTTACAAAAATATTAGCAACATACAAAACACACCACACACACACACACGCGCGCGCACGCACGCACGCACGCACGCACGCTAATATTTTTGTGGAGAAATATTATCAGTGAAATTGATCCACAACACCAAAGACCCAGATCTGTGTAGACTGATGATGATAAAACTAAACGGGTACATTGTAGTTGCAAACGTTTCTTTTGCTGAGAATGAAATATTTGTGTCTGCAGGAAGGTTTACCCTGCCCGCTTTCGCAGCATACTCCATGTCGAAGAAAGCTTGCATCGCCTTCTCAGATGCCCTCAGACAGGAGATGAAGAAGTTTAACATCTCTGTGGTCACTGTTGAACCTGGTCTCTACAAGTAGGTACCCCCACAGCTTGTTTTGTGTGGGCGTGTCTCTGGTTGTGGTGTTATGCTCGCATGTGTGTGTGTGGTCACCGTTGAACCTGGTCTCTACAAGTAGATACCCTCACTTCTTGTTTGTGTGGGCGTGTCTTTGGTTGTGGTATTATGCTCGCATGTGTGTGTGTGGTCACCGTTGAACCTGGTCTCTACAAGTAGGTACTCCTCACTTCTTGTTTGTGTGGGCGTGTCTCTGGTTGTGGTATTATGCTCGCATGTGTGTGTGTGGTCACCGTTAAACCTGGTCTCTACAAGTAGGTACCCTCACTTCTTGTTTGTGTGGGCGTGTCTTTGGTTGTGGTATTATGCTCGCATGTGTGTGTGTGGTCACCGTTGAACCTGGTCTCTACAAGTAGGTACTCCTTACTTCTTGTTTGTGTGGGCGTGTCTCTGGTTGTGGTATTATGCTCGCATGTGTGTGTATGTGTGTGTGTGTGTGTGTGTGTGGTCACCGTTGAACCTGCTCTCTACAAGTAGGTACTCCTTACTTCTTGTTCGCGTGGGCGTGTCTCTGGTTTATAGTATTACGCTCGCATGTGTGTGTGTGGTCACCGTTGAACCTGGTCTCTATAAGTAGGTACTCCTTACTTCTTGTTTGTGTGGGCGTGTCTCTGGTTTATGGTATTATGCTCGTATGTGTGTGTGTGGTCACCGTTGAACCTGGTCTCTACAAGTAGGTAACCCGCACTGCTTGTTTGTGTGGGCGTGTCTCCGGTTGTGGTATTATTCTTGCTTGTGTGCATGTATGTGTGTGCGTGCGTGTGTTTTTGTGTTGTGTCTACGTGTTTCTGTTAACGTTTATTTCCAGGACCTCTCCACGGGTGATCATCATCCGCATAGTGGCACTTTGTGTCACCTGGTGTTCATCGCTCTGCGTGATGTCCTGGTGGGGTAAAATTTACTTACTGGTATTTGTTGTCCAACTGAGTAAGCTACCCATTTGGCCTCTGGAATCATCACTCAAAATTGTGTGTATATATATAAAGGACCCTTTTCCCCGACTGTAGGCGTACAGGGAATATGGGGCTATACCTATACTTGTATAGACCAATCGGCACTTGTGGGTGATTTCCACATCACGCCGGTTGCCTTTACTTCCCAGGACTACACCTGGTACCCGTTACTCAAGGCTGCGAGTCAGGCTCATTTTAGAAAAAAAGGCCGGCTCCATCAGGACACAAACCCACGACCTTCTGATCCTATATATATATATATTACAAACAGTACATAGCCTAATGTATGTCAGATCTCAAAAAGACAAACTGAAGTTTAATTTATATTTTCCAATTTCAGAACACCCATCACCCATGAAAATTATTTGATTGACCACAACAGAAAATCCTGGGCAGAAACGCCAACAGATGTCAGGGAAGATTACGGAGAAGAATACTTTGATGTCTTTCTCAAACAAGTCGCCCTCAGCCTCAGGCAAGCTCGTCCAAAAGTCCAAGAGGTGGGTTTTGGTTGTAATGCCCCCCCCCCCCCCCTACCACACACACACACCAAATCTGTTTAACCCTCAGGGTTATATTGGAAGAAAGTGTTCTCAGAGTATATATATATATATATTTTTTTTTTTACATCGGCGATCATTTTTAGGACAATTATGCAATATGTATTACTGTTTCAAATATTGCATTATTGACACCTTTCTTGGCTGTGATTAGGATAGAAACTGTATTATGAATATTTATATAATTTTCCTAATATTGTGTCATTCAGTTAATGGATAAAAAAAAAATACCCTTGTTGGCATCTGTGGCTTAGGTGTTGCGAATGGGCTTCGTAATGCTGGGGCGCCGGGTTTGGTCCCAGCTGCGGACCACTTGTCTTGCGCTAGTTTCGACAGTGGTACAGAAGGCTGACCCTACAGAAAGCAATGGCAAACTACTGACTAAAATTTTACTAGAAAACCACAACACAGCCAAAAAATGCTGCAGTTGATTCTGCAACATCCTGTAAAGGATTATGCAACTACCTTTACCCTTAGTATAAATTGATTATAATTGATTTTTTTTTATTTTAGTATAAAATTTCTTCAAGGATGGCATGGGCATTCCATACCCTTTTATATTTGAATTTAAGCTGTGTCGTAAATTTCTCTACCTTGTCACTCAGGTTTCTGGGGCCGTCTACGTGCAAAAATTTGTCACTCGTGTGGTTCAAGGCTGAACTTGGTGCTGAAGTCGGTTTGCGGCTTAGAAGTTGTGAACAGCCCTTGTTCCAAGTGAAAGATCTATTTCCACTAGCATGTGCCTTACCCACTCAACCAACAAAGGCATACCCCTCTAATCTACTGTGTTGTGTTCAAATCCCCAGGTGGTTGACAACATGGTGGAGGCCGTCTGTAGCAAGAACCCTCACTATCGCTACGTGCCCTACTGGAGGTTCAGACTCCGAGCTTTCATTATCAGCTCATTACCTACCTCTATCTCAGACAAACTGTTCGCCCGCTCGTAAGTAGTTCATGCAATAACTCCATGAAAAAGTAATTTCAGTAAAGTCATCAAGGAGGGCAGACCAAAGATGGCTTACTTGACAGGCTTGCCCTCTCGCCAAAGATGTTTTGACAAGGATGGTCTCTCGGATACAACAGACAGAAAATGGAGACGTGGACGATGAAAGCAAACCTGGAAGAGAGCAGTAAACATGGAAGTGAAGTAAACTGACATAGCATTCCATGGGCAGACAACACACAGTAGTGGCGATCACTTATGCTTTCTGTGTCAATGACAATTGAAGAGGATATAAACAGTCCATCGCACCCGACTGCCAAATGGAAGGAAGAGAAGGCAATCAGCGGCAACTGGTGAGTGGCCTTTAAAACACCTGGCACGGTCTTCCACATGACACATCCACAAATAGGAGACTTTCTACAAATATGCATTCATCACACAACAAGAGGCAATATATTTATGGTGATAATTTATTTCATATACATCAGACAAGAGGCAATCATTTATGGTAACTAAATAAAAAACATTTTTTTTTTTTAATATTCATGGCAATAATTTTTTCAGTGCTAAAAAGTTTATACACACATGAGATAAATTACTGATAACTAGTAGAGTTTTTACACTGTAACAATTGGTTTTATTCATTATTAAGAATTTACAATAATTTTCTGAATCAAAGATGGTTAATTTTAATGTCATTTCTAGGATCACCAATCAGCAACTTTTTGCAAAATTTCTTTACTTAGAAGTCTAATTCAATTTTGCAACCCTAGGTGCTTTCATAGACAATGCATCTTCAGTGTCTTGTATCCACATTTGCAAAGGTCAACCTCTGCCTTGTTTTCACGAACCTGCACTCCATCACTATTCTCTCCAGGCCATTACCTACTTCCTGTGAAATGACATGTGTATGGTTTCCCTTTTCTGCATTTTGTGCAAGTTAAATCAGTGAACCAAGAATTTTTATATCTCTTGACCCTTATTCAGACAAAAGCATGTGTAGCACTCAAGAAAAATGTACAAGAAATACCTAGGCATGACCTTTGACACATGCTTCTTATACAAGAATCACAGACAATTACAGACAATGTAATACTTTGAGATAGGAAAGGTTACAGCATTCAAAATCTTGGTAGCAGCCATTACTGAACAACACAATTTGAACTTCTCTATCAGGACCTTGTGTTTAAAGTGTCACAGACTATGATCTGGCCTCCACACTGCCAGTCGAACCTGGTTAGACTCGATCAGGTTTAAAATATGGCCAGTAGTGAATTATTTCTCACCATTATTCAAAGATAATCTATGGCAGTGATTATTCTTAAAAAAAAGTCCCCTAGCAGTGCAGGACAAACTGAAACTGTTAGGAAGTTATCCACAGTTAAGATAGTCTTCTGCCTTTCTAGCCCCTAGTGGAGCATAGGCCCTCAACCAACTCATGCCACATCGTTCTATCTTTTGCTATCGCATGCAGCTCTCCCCATGTCCTCCCCATCTTTTTAACTTCATTTTCCAGCTCTCTTCGGTTTTTTTTTTGGGCCTTCCTTTATTTCATGTCCCTATGGGTTCCAATGCAAAGACATTCTAGTTATATTGTTCTTGTTTTTTCAACCTGTGTCTTATCCAACACCAGCGACTTCACATCTTGGTCCACTGGAGCTTGCCTAGTTCTCTCCCAAAACTCTACATTAGTGATTCTATCATACCACAGGTAAAGACATAAGACAGTAGTGGCCAATGAAATAAATGTGGCTGCACAAAAAACACTTGTGCCACGCTATAGGCTGTCATGGGCTTGCCAGTGATGGCTACTAGACACAGCTACAAAGGCCAAGGCAAATATGAGGCTATTGGTAGATGATAACCACACACTGCTAAAAGACGACGACAAAAGCAATGCTTGATACAAAAATGTATCTGAAAAATTTGTTTTATGCAATAAAACCTGAAAGGTAGTAAGTAATACATGCAGTGTTTTTGCAGACAAAATACCTTGTATTTGGCTACATCACAATAATTAAATCCACCCCCCTCCCCCTTTTCTCCCTAAAGTCTATGTTTGAAAGTAAACTTCAACAGGCACAATAATGAATTATTTGCATTTGATCACAGGTTTAAAATGTCAGAGCCAGAGGCAAGAAAGAACAGAAGCCCCAGGACTCCGCTGAATACTTCTCAAAAGTTTTGGAGCACACCCGAGAAGGAGAACCACCAATAGCATTATGCATACAGCTTTCACAGCACCTAACGTTTACTACTATTATCTCTGGATAGAGCAAACCAAGCAAATGGCACACACATATGAAACATATTTCTAATGGAAGCAAACCATTATTAGCATACAAAACAAAAATTAGACAATCATAACATAAGTAAATAAGCCGGTACAAAATATGGCTACCAAGGAAATGAGAGGTCAAAAGGTTGCTTGGGTGACTAGAAGAAATAAACTGTCACCATATAACCAACCAATACTAAATTACATACAAAGACAGCTGAAATATTTTGGCCATATTAAATGTCACAAAAGTTTGAAAAGAACAGTAATGGAGGCCATGGTAGTAGGAAAGAGGCATGGGCTGACCAACACAATGGTGAGCTCAGAGAGCCACGATGGATGTGGTTTCATGCAGGCTGTGATTGGAGCGACATTTTGTAAAGGATAAAATGTACATGATCAATACTGATCCATAGAAAAATCCACCCACAACCAAGGCAAATCTGAACTAGTTTATGACTGACAGTTTATTGATAAGAATGTCCCCGGTACCAGCTACAAGCGATCCACAGTAAAGAATTATGAGCAAAGTGCAAGGGGTAGAGACCATATCAAAGATGGGGTGATGACAACAGAACAACCTTAGAAGTATGAGGACCAACTGAACATTAAAAAGATGCTACGTTTGCCACATCTCCCACCTACAGCAAGTCATCATGGTAAATAAAGAAAGGTGAGAAATCAATAATACTGTATAACATCTGCTTCACCCAAAAATAAAAATTCTATATAGATAACTAAAACAATATTATGTACACACCTTGCAGTGTACATAAACTTTAACTGCTTTCATAAACATTATCAACTACACATGAAAAATTGTGTCCCTATCAATTAACAAATTGTAACTTTCTGTGTGTTTATCAGTGCACACAACATATTTTAAGTATGTGCTCCTAACATTTCATAAATGCTCATCTTTGTGCATAAAGTGTATTTTTATTTCAGTGCACAAAGACTATATATCAGAAAATGTACACAGGATTCATGTAGAAACAATGTAATATCTTTGCCTTAGTTTTTTAAAAGGGTAGGAAATTATATAGAAGAGAAGAAAAGGAGTAAGAAAGAACAAATAGCTTATGTCAGCTTTACAAAATTGATCACAATGACCAAAGGACGTTGCGGCAATTATCAGCAAATGAAGAACAACACAGCACACACACACACACATATGCACGAACTATAAAGTGACTACATAAGACTATCATGTACTAAACAAATTAAACTCATTTGTGTCACTGGTGACAAACTTCAAGGGGATGAACAGGACAGGTACTTAACCTATATATTGCCACTGCAGGGACAGGAAGCGAAAACTAGGTCGGTATACCTGGGTGATGAGGAGTTAATGCCAACAGACACGCCAGTGTACACTGAGTGTCCAAAAGGGGAAGGGAAGGGTTAGCCAATATGACATAACCAGGGTTGGGTCCTGAGGATGACTTGCCCTTCAAGTGAGCTATATATCTTGGTACTTTCATAGCATGGACCTGACGTTGCCTCAGATTAGAATGAAATACAGAATCTGTCCCAACTAATATTCAGAGTGTAAAGGATTTTTTTTTTCCCTTTAGGTGTACTGGGTGTATAGGGCTAGACCTATATTTTATAGACCAATCAGCACTCGGAGAATAAATATGGTCAACATCCTGCCGGTTGTCATTTTTTCCCCAGGCCTGACAAGGGCTCCACTGGGTCGGAGCGGGGAGCCAAGGTCATATTTTACGAGTCTGGTTCCGTATAGATCTGAACCCATGATCTTCGGACTCGCAGACCAACATCTAGCTGCTACAACATGGCAGCTCAACAACTTCACTTTACCAGGTTTTATTCAGCTTGGTCTTTTCCCGTAGAATGGCTACCTGCTTGCTGATAGTGTTTCACAAAGCACAAACTCAACAGCTCCAGTGAATCAAAAAAAAAAAGATACTTTTTTTTGAAACTTCAGAATGAGCATGCAGGTATACAATGCAAATCAAATGTTTTGCTTAAAAAATGTCACATATTTCAGAAATTAAATGACAGTATAAATTGGTCCAAATGGTACATGGTTAGAAAGGAAAAACAATACTATATAATAGAACTTCACTTTACCAGGTTTTATTCAGCTTGGTCTTTTCCCGTAGAATGGCTACCTGCTTGCTGATAGTGTTTCACAAAGCACAAACTCAACAGCTCCAGTGAATCAAAAAAAAAAGATACTTTTTTTTGAAACTTCAGAATGAGCATGCAGGTATACAATGCAAATCAAATGTTTTGCTTAAAAAATGTCACATATTTCAGAAATTAAATGACAGTATAAATTGGTCCAAATGGTACATGGTTAGAAAGGAAAAACAATACAATTTACCATATTTAACTGAATAATATATGTAAATTAAAATGTTAACATTTGTATATTCCTGTTTTAATGTGGATGCCTTTCATGTCTACCCCTATCATTCAGTGTTTCTTCACATCACAGGAAGCGACCAGCCCATGAGAGACAAAAACGTATTCCTATTGTACATTTTCCCCCACCATATTTTTATTTAAAGCAGTATTCTTTCCCATCAAAGACTAAAAATAACCAGATTACAATAATACCACCACAAACTGCCACTTGAAGGAATGTGGGCACATAGGATGGGATAAGCTAGAACAATCCTAGAGAAAAGACCAATTAGAAAAAGCACAAAGAATACCCTTATACAGATAAAGGGCTGCAAACTGACGTATTGTTGGTTAGTGTTCCAGTGGAGGCTCAAGGGGAAGACACTGAGGAAATTTCAAGACATTAAAATGATTTAACATGTGTTTCACATTTCAAGACAAATTGATTTAACATGTGCTTCACATTTCGAGACAAAATGATTTAACATGTGTTTCACATTTCAAGACATTTAAAAAAAACATTTAACATGTTTCATATTTCAAGACAAAATGATTTAACATGTGTTTCACATTTCAAGACAAGATTTAACATGTGTTTCACATTTCAAGACATTTAGAAAACGATTTTACATGTGTTTCACATTTCAAGACATTAAAATAATGATTCAACATACGTTTCTCATTTATCACCAAATCCAATTATTTTTATGTAACAACATTTGTACTGACGGTTAATTAGTTATAATGAATAAATGTTAATACATCATTTGGTTACATGTTTGCTGTGTTGTAGTACAAAGCACTGCAATAAATCACTGTATTAATTATCATTAATTCACTACAATCGTCTGAAAATATACTTTTATATGAAATTATGAAGTGTACTGTTCTGTACTTTTATAGTAAATATATTTTTTAAAAGACATATGGTTTGTTGTTCAATTATTTGTCAGAATTTGTCAGCCTACACTGTCATTGCACTCAGGAGCATGCCTAAATGTGTTTCCTCTCAAAGGCAACAGTATGTATGTGTCTATACATCAACATCATCATAATCATCATCTCCTTCACTGGCTGTGAATTCTGGCAGAAGGTCTCAGTTCATCCATTTGGCTTTTAGCTTTTACCGGGACCTTAGTTTTGCTTGTACATCTGTTTTACTGGTTTATTTGTTTGCCGTTTCCTGTCTTACGGGCAGATGAACGACTTCGAGGGAAGTCTATATATAATTATGAAGAACATTTCTGATAATTACAGAATTCAAGTACATTTACATTCAGTTGACCCAAAAAAACCAAAAAAAAAATTCACTCAGATATGATGCAATCATACCTAGGGGGATCTCTCATGATTTGTCAGCAGATGATTTTTAGTTCCCCTAAAACTAGACCCTTCGAATTTTCCCGAAATCTAGATCATTCGCAAATTCCATGAAATCTGACATTTTCCATTCCCGTGTGTCGCCGCCCACGGGGGGAAAAACATGATTAGTGAGGGTGTGGGTTTTAACCTTTAAAAATGCCCCCCCCGTGAGAAATGGGTATTATCTAAGCTAGTTGATCCCAAAAGTCCTGGATACCGAAAACACGGTGGCTCGTTTCCCTGAAAAAAGTTGCTGTATTTTTCCACAGAGTAGGGGAAGGGATAGATAGATATCAGGATACACCACTGTGATATTTTCCGTACCATTAACCCCCTTTGACTATTTCCTTCCGGCATTTCCCTTTAAAAACCCCCCATCAAGTATTTAAAAATTTTTTTAGCGAGTAAACTATATGCACAAAAACCTTTAAACCCAATCAAAAATTTCTTAATCTTTTAACAAAATAAAAAAATTTTTAAAAATCGAAATTAAAATAAAAAGAACTTGTTTTGGCTAGTAGAGTTGGGTGATGTTAAATGACATTAAAATTGTAATAACTTAGCTCATCGGGCAGTTCTCGGGTTTAGACCCTGCCCATCTTTTCCCGTTTTTTCGTCCTCACTGCTTTCTGNATTTCGCCTACTTAGATTAAGGATGTATCCAAATCCCTATTTTCCTGTATACTTTCAAAATACAAAGAAATAAAAGTAGGTTGAGGAAAGACATTCTGGAGTCACCGAGCGTATTGTCACACAGTGAAATCTAGACCATTTGCTATTCCAGTACACTACATGGTGGAAAAAGTTGCAGAACTGTAGCAGTTATAAACTGATGGAATTACACAAGATTCTACCTCTAACAACAGTAAAGATGGTGCATAACAACCCTGTGCTGATTAAAGAAAAATTAAATCCCTTTTCTAAAATTTGAACCCCTACCATCGCCAGATGAAATTATATAAGAAACAATTTAAAAAAACAACTTCAAAAACTTACTTGTGCAAAAGTTACTGGCAGATACCTTTAATAATACAGTGAAATATATAAGTTCTAAATCACAAATGGGATTAAAGCAGTGACTAAGATTTCCATTCGCACTGATAAATGCATTGAGAATAAGATGATTCAAACTTTTTTATGCAATTCCAATGTATGTACTTAGTCACTCCTTTTCTACCCTGGGGTGCAGAGGTTTGCCAGAG